TTACTGCTGGGAAAAAGTGCATGCGCCTATTAAATATTCATGTTATAAATACACATTTTTCTTAAGTATATTATACTTTTACGTTTGAGTAATAATCGCCTTTCGTTTAATATCCCTTCGATATACGATCGAGGATTGTCACAATCATTAATTCTCTTCCATTTAATTGCGTTTTAGGATTGTCCACGACAATGGGGCAGCTATTTCTTTAAAAAAAGTCACAAAGAATATTCGTGAAGGATATTTTTCTCAATCAAGTATTGAACGAATCGCCGAAGCAATGAGCAAATGAAAACGAAAATTAAATTCGATGTTTGCGTATAAATTAATTTGCTAATTCGGGTCCGTTTCAAATAGCATGTCGATAAGTGAGAGATTCGAGAGATAAAAAATAAGAGTTAAATCGATGAGATCGAAGGGTACACGCGCGCATGCACGCACACGCACACATTCTTACATAAAAAATATTAATTTTGAATATATATTCATAAATATATAATTATAAATTTACATGCACAGGTGAATTTCAATAGCGAGATTGAATGTTGAATGTTCAGCAAAGCAATAAGTTTGTCGCTTTGTATCGTAAAATGTAGACAACTTAATTATTGCATTTTAATGAAAAACCGTACAATTGTAAATAATCACACACACGTACATACGTACGTTTATGTACATATATATATATATATATATATATATATATATAATAAAAACTCTGTGCAATTAACTTCAATCCGCCATTTACGCATTTATTTTTAAAATAAAAAAAAAGGAAATTTAATTAAATACACCGATTAAAACAAAAACTAAAGCGGGACATTGAAAATTTTTCTTTTCTTTATTATACGTACGCGTATAAATGCTATAAGAAATACATTAATACATTAAGCAATACCACTTCTTTCATCATTTCTTTTCTTTTTTCTGTACAGGCGCACGGGTATTTGCAAGTGAAAGCAATATGCAATTATTTGTTAGTTTAGCTGCCGGGATAAGTGCACCCGAGTAATACATTTTTTGTTGAATTACTCTTCCTCGGTCGGCTCATCTTGTCAATTGTACACGAAAGAAAAGAAATATCAAATCATTTGTTCTGTTTTTCTTTTTTTGTCTACCAACATTGCATTCATCCATTCAACAAGTAAACCCCACAAATACTCATACGAGTGCTCGTACGCACGCGCGCTCTCCCCCATACACACAAGCACCCACACATACGCATTTACACCGCGGACATGGAAGTAACAATAAAAATATGAAAATTAAGCAAATATCAAATTTACAGTAGCATATATTTTTTTAGCCATATATTATTATTGCCATTTACGGTAAAGATAATTATAACATTATAAATATAATTTTGTGTGTGCGCGTGCGGGCGTGCGCGCCAGTGTGCACATAGGCGTTTATGTGTTTGTGCGTGCACACACTTGTACACATGCACGTACAGTTATGCACATATAGTATAATATAACTCATTCGAGCTTATTTATTTATGATATTTGTTAAATTGTATTCATGTTATCGTCTGGCTTAAAAAGATAGTTGAGGGGCTGAAAGTCGCTACGTAAAAAGTCAATATCGTATTAGTAAGGCCAAATTATAAAGCTAATTGTAAAATATCATTATTTGATGTTTGCCCAACATGAAACTTAATTTTTATTTGTTTATAAACATTTTATTGGACTTTTGACCTCGATGCTATAATTGTGTCAAACAAGTGTAAATGTTTTCGATGTTAGTAGCTTATCTTTATGCAATGAAAAAAAATTTCGTCTAATAATTAATTATGATAATGTAGCCTGGGGTTCGGATCGTTTTCTACTGAGCCCATGGTCGTCGACATAATTAGTATGAAATAATCGAATGAAAATGAGGAGAATCACAAAATCCTTCAATAAAAGTGATTTAATACAGATTATGTTGTAGGCTTGGAAAAAAAAAGTATTTCCTGCTCAGGGTGAGCCACACCAATACTAATACACACAACAACAACAACAACAATAAACGAACAAATAAAAAAACGCGCGTTACATCTAGTGAAATTTTTTTTTATGCATTTCGATAAAAGCAAGAAAAGAATAATAACGTAATTGACATGTTTTCATATATGTAAAGCATTTTTTTTTTTATTTTTATATGAAACGTCTTGAAGTCGCACTGAGACGCTGTTCGTCGTCGCTTGGACGAATCGCCGATAATCGACATCAATGTCACGATGATATCCCTTTGTAAAATATACTCAACATTTTATATTATGTCTGGACTTGTAGGATTCGTTCGCAAATTTCTGGCTTTAAAGTTATACTTTCGTTCGATGTCCATTTACTTTTAGATTTTTAAATCTAGCGTTAATCATTCGTTTCAGTTCTTAAATCATATCGTCTGCTATTTGAATGAAAATTTTTAATAAAAACGAATCGAATAATAATACGACTTAGCTTCGGATGGCGGAGCGTAGTCTCTAAGCGACCGAACGCTTTTACATAATTAATTTTTCCAAGTAAATTCGCCGCGCAACAAACAAGTTGTGTTGAATAAGAGAATTCCGAAACACGAAAAACGGGACATAAAAACGGGAGCGAACGACTCTTTGTGAATGATCGAATTTCTTGTGAAGACACATGACGCATAGTCGTTTGAAAGCAGTCGAGTCCCCTTTAAAGATATTTTTATCAAAGAGACAAACGCGAATTTCAGTATTTGACCGAATTCATGCGCATTCGTGGTGTCTGCACTCCGTACGTCCGTGGTACGCCGCGGGACTCATTTATGCAAACATATATTTTTTTTTTTCAAAAAGCGGAATAAGAGACAAACGCGCAGCACTTTTGTCCGTCAGAACGGGATGGAAGTCCCTTAACGACAAGTTGCGCATCCAACGAAGCCTGAAGCATGCGAGCGATCCAACTGCTTTTTCTTCCTTTGCTCTCGTCTCACTTCTCTCTCAGTCCACTCATACGGATTACGTGTGTATAATGTGAATATATAAATATATTTATAAATTTATATATAAATATAAATATAAATATAAATATAAATACAAGTATATGTATATATATATATATATATATATATATATATATATATATATATACGTGTGTTTTTGTTGTGTGTGTGTGTGTGTGTGTATCTCTGTGTGTGTGTGTGTGTGTGTGTGTATGCATGCATATGCTTGTGCATACGCGTATACAAGCACACAACATACATTCGTCGTCGGCACAGTACACGAGATTTCAATATGTTGCACTCTCCATTTTGATTTTGGTTTGATGGCAAATTGCTACACAAGCTTTGCTCGAAGCACAAGAGCACGATCCAAGATTCAATTTTAATAAATCTTCCTAGTTCGACACGTATTATAATCCAGTAAAAATATTTTTGTGCCTTGCTGTACAATCCACAACGATCTAATAAAGCAGTACGGCATGCCCAAGAAGATACCCAGACGCAGGCGACCGACCTTGACAACGGTAAAGATGGTATGCATTTACTTATTTACATTATCACGTTGATCGTCCTCTATGTCTCTTTTGCATGGCACGCTCTTTTACAGTTCTTATCCATCCTCATTTCGTGTGGCCGTTTTCTCTTTATGCTCAATACCACAAGAACGCCAGTTATATTCTGGCCATTGTATGAATGCTTTTGCAAGAATCGAAATTGTGTGCTGCACTTTCAAATCACTTCTTTCAAATGACTTTCTCTCAGATCTTCCATAGCTTAAGTTTTTCACCAGCGGCCAAAATACTGCCTAAAACAGTTACATTGTCTTACAATTTCTTACTAATTCAAGGTTGGTCATATATAATATACTTACTACGACCAATGCGCAATATGAAATCTTTATGTACACGATTTACTTTACAATTATATTAATAGTTTTATTCGGTCTGTACTTTTCTCTCTGTGCTATTAATTTTTAATTATTGTGTGTTTTTTTTTTTTTTTTTTTTTTTTTTTTTTTTTTTTTTAAACGTTTTCCGGTATTTGTATGATGCTACACAACGTATACAAATCTCTTTTCATTTTATTTTATAATTCTTCTATTTATTTAATTGAACTGTATCGAATTAATCGAATATTCAAAGCTGCATAATATACGTTAATATCTTTAAATTTTTTTTAAATAACTTTTTCAAACAATCGTTTAATGTGATTTAACTTATGAATATAAATTTAATGCAATTAAAATATTCTTAACTATTATAACAAATCGGTATGCTGATGTTCAATATATTTGTCATTCAGCTAGTATTCTCTGTTCTTTATTTTTAAAAAGTAACAGAATTGTTTTATTAATTCTAGTTTAATTTAAATCGTGTAGTTCATTTACGTAACAATTGTATGTTTCGAAACACATGCAAAGATTATGATATGCAATAAAATTGTTCAATATTGTTTATAATATTTCTTTATATTTGACATAGGCATCAACGACCAAAAGATCGTTTGAAATTATCATAAATAACAATGTTTAACGAATCCTTTACTCTCGTTCATCTTGTTTGTACTAACTTGTTTCAAACATTCTGTGTTTAACTACTAACAAATACTTTAGTAAACAACTATTTTAACGAATACACTTTTAACTAAATGAATCAATATTTAGTCGAAAATTTTGATATTTATTATATAAAGTTGTTATAATTTAAATCCAAAAATATTTCATATATCCAAGTAACGTTGCAGTCGCATTGGTGTTTGTGCTTAACAATGTCAATTTAAATAGATAAACGACGTCTGCGTTCCGCCCTATATACGAATCAGCCAAACAAACATAAAACTTGTCCGTATTTCAAATCATTTACAATCTTTGTTTCCTTCCCAGATGAAGAGGATATCCTGGAGTATCATTTCTTGCATAAGTGAACAAATCGCATATTTGACAAGGCCACACATCAATATACGAGTTACAAGCGATACCTGTTAAACGAATAAGAAATTGGAGGGAAGAAGCGCATAAAAGAGAAAGCTCGTCGCCCCTACGCACACATGCATGTGAGACAGACAGCGTCACACTCGACGGCATACGAGATATACATATTATATTTCTATATATTTCATAGGGAGTGTTTGATATAAGGAGAACGTACGCAAACGACATATAAAAAGCAAAATTGAGAAACATTTAACGAAATATATAAATGATAATAACGCAAAAAAAAAAGAACAAAAAAATAACAAAAAATCCATCGAAAAGTGTTTATAAAGTAAATTACTACCTTTTTTCGAATAAGAGTATGCATATATAAAATTTAAGGCACCCGGCGTTGTTGTATTTAATGAGCATATAATTATATTCGAGGGAGAAAAAAGAGCAGAAGGGGGAGGGGGGGGGAGAGAAGATGTATTTTATCACACTTCGATTAAAATCCGAGGGTTTGTTGCTCGACCCCCGGGGAATTCGAACCGCCTTCGGACTTCGATCGCTGCACACGACCAATCAAAAAACAAAACAAAAACAAAAAACATAATATCAATAATAATATCAACAACAATGATAATAATAATAATAACAATAATAATAATAATAATAATAATAATAATACAAAAAAAATCCAATGCAATTTAATCAATAATTATAATTATGGTAATGGTGATAGAGCGGGGAATGACGAACAATGAAAATCTAAAACTTCTCATCTTCCACGACTCACTGATGTTTCCAATGTTCAATTAAAGCTGTGCATGTCAGTGGATTATCTCCTTTTACTTTTGAAACATAAAATAAAGGTCGATTGCGTCTCAACGTACACAGAAAGAACTACACGTACAATTACAGGAGTCGTAGTAGATGTTTAAGGCGCCTTAAAAAATTGATGACTTCCGAAATTACGAACGATCGTTTACCCGTTTTTATTTCCATGTTCTTAACGACGTCGAATTTTTCAAATATAAATGATTGAAATTACCAAAATTATACGTAATCGAAATGTATACGTTAGAAAGGGCGAAGAAGGGTAAGGGTAAGGGTAAGGGGGGAGGGGGAAGGGAGGGTATACGAAATTCTACGGTAGTTTAAATTTATATATTAAGTATAATTACGAGAAATTAATGAGCACTTGAAAAATTATAATTGATTTATCTGAATTTTTATGCATTTCGCTTTGATATTCAGAAGGTTTCAAAATTTTATAATACTGATAAAAGATCTATGTATAGTTGTAATTGTAGAAAAAAATTCTGAATATTAAAAAGTGGCTTAAAAATTTTCAGATTAAAAATTACTCTATTGTGATTCATTCCTTTAAAACGTTGATTTTTATTTTTATAAATTTTAAGTGTTTTCTACTTTAATTTTGTTACTTGTTACAATCTTTTCTTTGTTAATTTAATTTCCAAATGTGTATACGAATTTTAGTCAATTTGTTTATATGTATATTTACTTTGTTCACTATATTTTCACTATTGTTAATTATTAGGCTCTATTTAAATTTGAATAAACTTAGAATAAGGTATGAAGATTGATATAATGTATTAAAATTGTGCACACTTGAAATAATGTCAATTTTATAAAATGGTAAAATGTGCAATTGTTTTGCGCCTACACCTTACATTAAGCAATTGCTATTAAGAATAATAAAATAATAATAATAATGATAATGATAATAATAATAATAATAATATGAATAATAATAATAATAATATGAATAATATTAATATGACAAAATTCGAAATAATTTAATAATTTAAGTCACTATTAATCATTATCTATTAGGTTCGCGGTAAGGATATGATTTTAGTCGAGCTAAATTGCAAAATTGATATATTTAACTCCAATTATCGATACTCTTTACTTACTTAAATTAATTATTTAGAATATGAAAAATGATTTAGTTATAAAATTTGTATTATTCAAAAATATTTCAGTCAATGAAGTAATTTTAATATTAATAGGAAGTTGCTGCGTGTTAAGAAAATGTTTCAAATTGAATATTTTGAAAACTGACAGGATGGAAATAAAAATGATTAATCGAAATTTCGGAAAGACCCTACGGTTTTCTCTCCCTCTCATGTTGGATAAACTGATTTTTTATACGAAGTACAATGATCAATGCTGCTATAAAACACCGAATGATAAAATGTAAATGTACAAAGATATCCATACGGACTTTTTTATATGCGATTTTTCAAGGTTCTTTCTCTCTTCGATCGTGGCATTCGTTTCAATTATAATAGCGTAAAATTTTTACAAAAAGTAAAGAAAAAAAAAAGAAAAAGAAAAATCTGTGCCAAATGTATCATGACAGTCTCGAAACTCTTTCCATTGATCTCCCATGACTTAATGTTAATCGAGAAACCATGAAGACTTATTTAACGAAGAGAAGATTAACCTCGGATGTAAGCGATATTTTAATAGGACCCGTCAAAGAACCATTAAAACCTATTCGTACGAATTTAAACAAAGACTTTTCTTTGTCGACACTTTTGTATTCTAGAGAATAAATTAATCTGATGCAATCAACATCAGTAATGCCATGAATCCCATCTGTTTTTTACCATTATTTTCCTTATCTCGATATATATATATATATTATTTATTTATTTATTTTTTATTATTTTTTTTTTTAATACAACTTTATTATCAATGATATAATTAATTGGATTAAAATATCCTCCGGTAAATGAAGGCACACATTGTGCTTTTAAATAGATCGTTATAAAAATAATTTCTTAGATCAATAGAATATTGCCAAGTTATGATTTTAAAAAGCATTTGTTCACTATGAAGTCATGATTTTTTAATTGATAGTTCAGGACATTAATGATAAAAATTAATGAAAAATATAAATCAAATAAAATATGAAATATTCGGTCACATAATTGTATTAAAGTATTCATTTAAGTTGCCGTAATTAACAAAATAAAAAATCAATTATTAAAATTATAGAATTTAAAAGTATGTATATGTTGGAAATGCGTTTTAAGGAAATTAAATTTTCATCTAATAACCTAATCGTATTGGTTTTTGCGAATAAATTAGTTATATGTAATACAGACACGATTGAAATAATTTAACAATTTGACGAACAAGTTAGTATCGTTGCTTGCAAATAGTTTTAAATACTAAATACAATTTTACCTTATGACATAATGTGACTATGCAGTTACTTAATTTTTCAAAGGATAGTTAAGTATTTGATTATCATCATTAATTTAATAATTTTATTGGCATTGAAGGTGTATATCAGAGAAATGTAACGCATCATATATCATATTGAAAATTGAAAATCTGGACCTAATGAACATTATACAATGTTGAAGAACAGGTAAATCATAGGGAAGTAGACACAAGTTACAAGTCGTCCACTTGAAACTTCCCCCAAATAATAACAAATTTCAATAATATTTAATTACTTATACGTGTAAAATTATCTAAATGCATTATTTATAAAACTATGTCAGCCTACATTGATAAATGAACGGAGAACGCTGGTTAAACTAAAATCTTATTACTAATACAGCAGCGGAACAACGCAATAATAATAAAATTAAAATAATAAAATAAAAATCGACGAAATACATAGTATTAGTTTTATGCGACTGTCTTTTTAAAAGTCGCAATGGCCGATTTGAAAAATGATCGAGAAGGAGGTTGACATTGCCAAAACAATGTAGAATAAGCGCAGAAAGGCGAGTCGCATCGGCCTGATTTACTTGTTTGGTGGAAAACGGAAAACCAATTAATCGAGTCAGGAAGAAGATCGTGTGCCGGAAACAAATAGGCAGTTCGGGGATGTGAAGAAGACGGAGCTTCATTGAGAAAAGTCTTTTCTCTATGGCCATGGATTACCACTGCGACAATTGAAGTCGGTCCAAGGTCATGAGCGCACGAAGCTCAGTGAATTTAAGCTTCGCGTTTGATCGGCTAATCAGCTGAGTCTCGACGCCCCACCTCCCCCAACCCCACCCTGACCACCACCACCACCACCACCACCACCACCACCGAGGCTCTACTAGTGCGATTGGTACGATTATTATTTAGGTTATAATGGGCTGTGCTTTCAACCACGGATCTTTCCTTCGCACAGATATAACGACTTAAATGACGTAAGAGTCATTGGACATTTTGAAGGGAACGTACGAGCGCACATTGGCTTTTCCGTTTCATTCGCTTTTCAACGGCTTCGTACAATACTGTAATTAGTCGCGGTGAGCCGATTACTCGATAGTTTCATTCATTTCTTTTACTTCAAATCGACCAATAATTTTTTTTCTTTAAAACCGCCCAAAAATTTTTTTTTGTTTTTTTTTTTTTTTTTTTTTTTTTTTTTTTTTTTTTTTTTTTATTGGCTTTCGAACTCCGTTCCAGGTTTTCGTGGCAGTAGAATTTGAAATTTGAAACGTTACTACTAATTCAGTCGGATAAATAACTCACGATTAGGCAATTACTCTCGTTTGTTTAACATTACATACGCGAACAAATGCGCGCGCCCGCGCGCACTCACACACACGCCATTACACAAGCGCATATGTGTTTAATGACACTGTAGGATCAATTAATTAAAACAATATAATTATGTAACAATACTATATAAGATTGTAAGTGTACTGACGCGATCGGCCAGTGCATGTTTAATTCTCTTATGCTCGCTATCATAAATTGAAATTGTTTATTAATAAATAATTAGCAACGTTTTAAGTATATAGATTTTTAATTTAAAACAAATTACATATAATTCGAAGGATCTAGAGTATGGAAGTTTTGATAATTAATTCAACTGACATCGATAACGTAGCGACAAACGTATATAACAAATGCGGGAATCTCAATTTAATTTTACAAAAGTATTTTTTATAAGGTTGCAATAATATCATCTAGTAAGTAATTAAAAATTTATTATATTTATTAATTTAAATGCGTCTTAGTATAATATAAATTTAATAGATATTATATTTTGATTAATATTTAATATTGAGTATGCGAAGCAGATTTTGTATACGTCTATATATAAATGTGCGTTTCAAAAAATATGATTTATGCATTTATTTA